AATTCTTTAGATACTTAATTTAATCCACGTATTAAAACGATCGTTTCAATTGTACTTTTTTTCTCTTTAATCTATTGTACTGTTTTCATAAATAAACAGCAAATTATATGTTCTGTTGAGACATATGTTCTTTTTTTTCTCTGTTCTTCACACGGTAGAAAGATATTTTCTGTTTGTCCAATCCTGTTGTTCTCTTTAAGTTCACAGGTCAAGATTGGCACAAGTAAAAACTACTTTCTCCATTGTCTTTCTTTTTCCTTAGTTTGAATAATTTATTTCTGGTGATTGCGTAAATGTTAAATCTAGTCAATGAAGTGAGAAAAAAAATATCTTTTTACCGCAGATTAATCGGAAGAATAAAGTTCAACTATAATTACCATAAATTCTTTAAAAATAAAAAAAAACTATCAAAATACCAAATACGCCGTTTGTCATTTCATTAGAGTTTTACTTTTTCAAGATTTAGAATCTGTTGGCATAACTACATTTTAATATTTTTCTAATGTAGCATAGTAACAAATAATATGATATACACACATCATATAATAGTTTAATGTCTTCTGTATTTTTTTTTTCAAAGACAAACTTTACTTCCATCTGAACCATCGAATTCCTCTCGTATCCAATACCTAAAATCCAAAATCCTTCGTAAAATCGTCAATGCTCCTTACTTTGTCACAAATAAAATCATTCATAGCGACCTTAACGTACCATATGTTTCCGATTTTGCCCAATCCACATACCTATTCTTCCACAACAAACTCCAAAACCATCTGAGCTCTCTCGTTTAAAATCTTGCTTCCTCTTCGATACCTAATAACCCTCCAAGGCGTCTGAAAAGAAGATGGCCTCGTGTGTAAATATATTATCAGAGTGCTACCAATGGGTAGTTTCTCAAAAAGCGTTCTCATGTAGTTATTAGTATTACCGTTTGCACATTTACTGGATGTATTTTTAAATTTATACAGTTGTAAATCTCATCAATAAAAAATAAATAAAAATAAACTTCCATTTAAAGTAAATTTTAATTAAAGCAATTATTAATGCCTGAATTAAATATTTTCTTTTTAGTTATTTCTAAAATAACTAAATTGTTTATTCGAACTTTTTGAAGTCTGCTATCACTCCTGTAATTATTTCCGTTTACTCGCGTGACACACTGTATATGTACTACATACCTCATAAACAATAATAATAATGAGTCTTACAGGTGACTGAAAAACGTAAGAAATGTCTTATGGCAATTTATATAAATGTATGTATATTTTGTCAATATCAAAAAAAAAAAGAGGAAGAAAATAGTATGTTAGGTTGAAACGAACTCAAAAATATTTAAGATCCAGGCTTATAATAATTATTTATGTATCTCTGAGGCTCTTTAGCCCATATTTATGTCTTTCTGCATTATTCTAAAGGTACTCGTCCCAGAATAAATAAAGTATTATTATTATTATAATACTTTAACTCATAAGTAAAATAATCATTTTTTTTTTAAAACGAAAACAGATTTATTACTATGAGTTTATTAAAAAAAAAAAATCTAGTTTATGACGTAATATGCTGAAGTACTGGCAATGAGATATGATAATTTCTAACACAAGACTCAGACCACAAAACCATAACATTCTTCCTAGCTGGACAGTCACCCAGGACTCGAACGGAATTCGAAATAAGTGCAACAGCATGAGTTAGACTTCCTGTTGACTAGGTAGTAGAGAAGTAAGGTCAGTAACTAGTGTCCTTGTGGAGATTTTTTTCTCTACTAAACTGAAGGACAATGAACTGAACCAACGTTTATATTTAAAAATAATACCCTGCCTTATAAACAATATAATTATATATAAATAACGTTAAAACTTATATATTTTGTTCATTATTCTATAAAAGATTCGACCACAGTTTACGTTTCTGGGTACTATTTCCCATCTTCAGTACCAAAGTTATTATTATTTTATATTATGTCATTAAATTATTTTTACTAAAATATGAATATTTTTATTGGTAGAACCCCTCCTTTTGTCGTTTTATAAATGGACAAAGCCCACTATTTCCTTGTCATTAATGATATAATGACAATAAGTTGATTTAAATCATTAAAATAAGAATAATATGGTTCTGAATCTGAAGATAGAGGAAAATACTACGAAATATACACTGTCACTTGATGTTTTAAAAAATAATGAAGAAAATAGAGGTTCGATGCCTAGACTTTCTACAAACTTATAATAACCTATTTAATTTCTGAAAACTCTCGGAATTGGGGCGTTTTCAATCTAGAGGGGGGCAAACTTCGTATATTTAATTAGATACTTAAAACTCGTAAATACCCATTTGCTTTCTACTGGGATCGTAAGATAATGTGATCACAAAATCGATAAGAAAAGTGGCCTTCAAAAATATTGAGCCGTTTGGCGTGGCCTACATCACCAAATTTTCAAAATAACGACGTTATACAGGACAAATGGCCCAATATTTTTGTAGTCCAACTTTTTTGTCCATTTTGTGATCAAATTATGTTACGATCCAAGTATAAAGGAAATGACCATTTACGAGTTTTTAGTACTTAATTAAATAGACAAAGTTTGTCCCCCTCCAGATTGAAAACGCCCCAATTCCAAGAGTTGTCGTAAATATAATAGTTGTAGGTTACAATACGATGAAACTATTTAAAAAATTACAGGCGAATGTTAATAATTCGATAAAAAGAGGTCTGTACCACGAGCTATTTAACACCGAATATTCACTTTCATAATCTTTTTTCAATAATTAATAAAAATAACTAACTAAAATTATTTCCTAGATTTTTGTTTTTCATATGCCCTTATTTACTTTTTCTGACGTATTTCGAGTTCTTGAAATCCTCCTTTTTCTGCACGTTTGCATTTAAAGGAGTCATAATTATGCTGTGCCAATTTTCATGATTTCAAATTATAAAAAAAAAAATTACTGTACCGCTACAAACCATGAAGGGTCTTTGGTTTGGTTCAGTACTTTGTGAGGAAGTACTATTTCGAGGCCAACGGTTGTGCAGGGAGGCGATTGGGCCGAGATCACACTCAAACGCCAGGTTTTCCCCTACAATTAATTATGTGATTAAGGTTACGAACTTCATGAAGGCTGGATGTGCCTCAGAAGGGTCTTCCGATCTCTGGGTCGATCCACGGCTGATGAAACAGATTAAAAAAGTATTACCTGCCAACTGTCAACAAACAACAAACCCGGGACCTTCAGCTATAGAAGTCAGTGTCCTACCCACTGAGTTACTCCGCTCTTCATTTCAAATTACGTATCAGGTAATGGGGCTCACCCTTTTTTTGATTTGAACTTACAAACTAAAATAAAAGATAAAGGATTTGTTATATTTTTTACTGAGTCGTAAAATTTGTTATTCCTTTCATGTATGAAATTCATTGCTATCTTTAATTTTAATTAAATACTGGAAAGTGGAATATAAGCTATTATGTCAAAGCCACACTTCCTCGACTATGTAACGCAAGTGTTAAGTGTTTATCTTGTATTATTATACGTGTTTGTTTTGTAAATGATTACTGCTCCACTCAAATCGCATACCGTGATAGATCATGAACTCCTCAACAGATGAGATTGCGCTCCCAAATGCGTCGAAAAACCAGAATGAAAATGTTCGACGAAAGAGAAAAAAAAAACTCTGCTATACGAAATATCCTTCCCTGACGAAAGAGACGAAAGAGAAGTGCAAGGTACCCCAGGCGCGGTCTAATAAAAATATTGGCTCCAATTCAAAAAAAAAAAATCCTCTCATTCTGTTCTTTTTTAATTTCGTTGCCAAATGTTGTTGAACTCGCCTACACGCGGGGTTAACGGCAAAGAGAACGGTTGTATTTATATTTTTTTTTCGCCTCCACACCGCCACAAAATGATGGCGAGTTTTCGCTGTGGACCTGTTAAATATTCGTTTCGTTTCATATTTCACGAAGAAGAAAAATGAGTATCATTATATCTAAGTAGACGACGTACGGAACGCCAGTCAAATAAATGTAACTAGAACAAAAAAATCAAATACTCTAATTAATTTTGTTCCTTAACGCAATTACCATGAAACTGTATGTTAAATGACGGGATTCGAATATAAGTAGAATAAGCCAGTTTTGCTTTTTGTTTAGTGAATAAGTTGTAAAATAAATACTATGCCCTTCAATATTATATTGGTATGTTTGACTTGTGTGAAAATTTTTTATAGGTGAAATAAAACACATTTATAAAATTATATGTCATACAGATATATCATTAAAGAAAATTTACAAAACATTCGCTTCCCTAACAAAAAGTAAAATTGGTCTACGATAGAGAGTAAACAATTTCATGTTATTGCAATTAACATTGAACGTAACTACAACTTGGATAAAAATTGGAATTTTAACACAAATCTGGAAAAAAGTAAAACAAAAAAAAAGACGAATAGTACACCATTTTTTTCCGACAGTTAAAATATAAAATTATTCTGATACGTTAAACTTATGCATTTGTTATCATTCTTTCTGATTTTTATTACTTATCATTATTTGTTACAGATTTTTTTTTATTTACAAAAATGTGACAAGGAGGAGTTTACTGTAACACACTTTTGAAAAAATGGAGCAATTATAAAAAATATAATAATATTGATATCATTTTTTATCAAACTTTAAGCCAAAATGAGTATTCAGAATCGTTAGCTTTTTTGCAAGTGAATTTTAAAATTATTATAAACTCAAGCAATAACTTCAAAGTTTCCCAAACCGACGACATATGAACTAGGTAATTTTTTTTTCGTAGAAATTCATTTTTATTTTTTATTTTTGTCAGCAAAAGTAAAAAACAATAAAGTTACGTGATAACAGTAACATAAAACACTGGAAACAAATTTAAAACTATGGAGGATTTAGGGATTACTAGACAAGTTCCTTTTTCTGCTAGTGTACATTCTTGAATGAACATTAGCAGAAAACAGGAATATAATCTATTCTTATGAGAAAAATAAATTGAACGGTAAAAAAATATTTTATATTTTAAAAATTTGTTAAAACCTGCCTTAAAATAGTTAGCAGTCAGAGGCACTGTATGATTGCGACGTGCTCTCCTCTCATCATCAATTTAGGAACGTAACGTTCGCACTGTTCCTGCTTTGGGCTCACCTTTGTAACGGTTACGGTAGGAACCGTGACTCGGTATCTGGGACTTCCTCTTGTCTCAGCTGTAACAAGAAAAGTTAATAAGATTTAATGATAATTATAGCTATACATATACAAAAAGGAATGTGGTTTTCCAAATAATTATTTGTTAAATCTAGCAAATGGTGTAAGTCATATTAACCGTTAAATAAAAAGTTAACGAAGTAACGTTCTTGCCAGTTCGTTATAAGATGGCTATTTTTTTTTCATCAACTTTAGTTTATTAACTTGTATAATGAAACCATTCATTGAATGTTGTTTACAATAAAGGAAAAAATTAAATTTACAATTTTCCTTTATTATTATCTTCATTCAAATCAATACTCCAATATTGGATATTATATTGGCTCTCCGCGTAATTTTGTGACGCAGGCATTAATCACAATAATTCTAACAAAATCTTTACTTTCTCAAAATTAAGATTTATGGTATTTAAACATCTGATATAATCAAAATATAGAGATAAAATTTAAGAAGAATATACATGAAAGGAATGACAAAGAACGTTCAGAATTCAGGCCAATTAAAAACAGGTTAATTGGATGCAGGAATTTTATAGAAAGCATTTTTTTTTTTTATAGTTAATTATAAAAACTATGTGTTATTTTATATTTACGATTCTTTCAAATTCAATAGAAAAATGACAATTCCTAATATTATTTTAGCAATCCAATATACATACGTCACCTCAAACTTAAACCAATCTCAACTTTAGTCATACCAAATAATAGTTCGTAGAAGTAATAAAGCTAATCCCATAATTACAATTTCTAATAAGTGAATTGATAAACAATATAAAGTTGATAAACACGTTTAAATAGGTCTAATAAAATACGAACCTTAGGTTGGAATTTAAATAGAATCGAATTCCGTAAGTAAACTAGGTTTTCTTATGCAATAATCTGAAAATGAGGTCTTAGAAACAATAAAAGCTTGCATAAGAACTGGGTCATTTAATATTTTACTGATTAGCATAATTACACCGACTATTATTGAATTGTTCGGCAATAAACATTGAAGTCAGAAATTATAAACATGCCATAAATTAAAAAATAAATAAATTCAAATCTATTTTGTACCTGATTTTAGAAAATGTTAACGATAAAATTTAACAATGATGGTGAAACACATAATAGATAGGTAATAAATATGTACGTGATTTCATATAAAGATAAATTTTATTTCGGGTTTTAAAATGGTTTAGCTAATTTTTCGTACAAATAGCTGCGGAATTATATTCAAAAGAAAATCATCTTTTTTCTCAGAAAAAAATTCTTGAGAGTCTATGAAATGCTACCTGATACATAAATATACACAAATTTTCTTATACGATTAAATTATATTATCAATATTAGTATATTATTTAATATATTATTAAACATTGACTTAATGTAGACTTGAGAATATTAAGAATAGATAAAACGAACCTTGAAATAAGTAAAAACGAAAAACCTTGAATTCGAAAATTTTTCAGACCTTTGTTTTACAAAATAAAGTTTTATATTAGAAACTAACAAACAAATATAATAAGAAATAAATAATTAGTGGCAAATTCGTGTCTTCTTAAATAGTTTTTAACTTTAATTTGATTTATTTAAATCTATTATATTTTTAAAACTATATACTTAAAAATACCGAAATGTTTAATGTAATAATTAAAATATATTTTTTTGATACATCATGGTTTAGTGAAAAGAATACGGAATGATAAATATATATTTTTTCTTAATCCCATGGGATGTGGTGTTGGAAACATTAGATAGGGCTGTAAAAGGTTTTTAATATAAGTCTATCATCCCATTGATTTGTGAATAAGTGGAGTAAGTGTTTTAAAAAGTGGGTTTGTCCAGTATTAAAGTCTATCAAAGAATTCGATAAAGCCTGCATGTAATAAAGGCACCTTCGGTAATTCAAGTGTGGTATGATATTATTTCTAACAAATGTAAGACATTAGATCACATTTAAAATAATTTAAGTTTTTGGGGAATCAGAGGTATTATTTTAAATAGCATTTGTTTCATAAACAAAAATCAACTAATTAATTTTGTGTGCTAATGGCCTTAAAATAAAATATTAAATAATATTCTCTAATTTTATTTTTTTTTAATTGTCAATGAACTTTACTTGAATTAAAAAACTTAAGGCCTTCAATTTCGATTTTTCAATAACAGCCAACTAATTACGTCTTGAGCCTTCCGCGTTTGATTTGTCCTACAATTATTACCTAGCTATTATCACCTATTATCCCTCCGTTTCGTAACCCTTGACATCTCGAAGATTATTATTTCTCTTTACCGAAGCCATAAAGCATAAAATTCCCTCATGATATGTAGGCAGATGTACAAAAACAAAAGATCCTTTGTTGGCGCTAGTGCCAGTGGTGGGGTAGTCCTTGGGCAGGCCTCGAAGCGAGATCCGCGCCTTAAGGCCGCTATAACCTTAAGCCCTGGCAGGATATCTTCACCTTACTTGTATTAACATCCTTGTGGAATAGTTAATTAGCATTTAATTGTATCAATTAATTAATTCAAAGTGTTAATTATCAATACCTGTTAATTATTATAATAATTCGTCCTTAAAATGTTTTTTAGGAATATATAATTAGTAATAAGTTAGTGAATTAATACTATACTAAGATAATTACTATTATCTATATCTAAGCTGTATTGTGATTAATTTTTTTTTATTTATTGATATTTTAACCTCATCATCCGCATGTTATATAACAAGGAAGTTATTAATTAACTACAGATTTTATGTAGCATTTTTAATTACTCAACTAGATAAAAATAAAACTTTTATTAATTTCATTAAATTTATAATTTTCCACAAGACGATCGTGTTAGTGCAGGTACTATTTGTGTGATATAGGAATATATTTTTATAAATTTTTATTTAATTTACGTAGATATAAATTTCAACCGTAGCAAGTGAAAGGAAAATGTAAACAATAAAAAAATAAAGTAAATTAACAAAGTTCAAAATGACAGTGGGCACAATTTTCGATAATAATAAATTATTAAATAACCTGTACTACGTGTGTTTTTTATCTATATTTATTTAAATATATAATACCCCATCAACAGAAATTGTGACTAAAATATGTAAGAAAATTATTAATAATTGGGAAATAAAACAAAAATAACTAGTACTGAATTACAATAAAAATGAAAAAAAAAATAAGATATTGTCGTCGCCTATTATTCCTAAACACAATAACAATAACATAAATGACAGGTTATTTTACAGCAAAATATTATTATACCAAAAAAAAATTATATATTTCTTTGAGATGATAATCACCTTAGCTATTAATATTTAAATGTTGACGTACTTTTCGGTTTAGAAACGAAACAATAAAGAAAAGTTTACATAACAATTAAATATTTATCGACAGTTATCACTATTAATACACTAAATATACAATTATCAATAATTAATAAATAATCACAAATTACGTGGTAAATCAGACGCCCTCTAGCTTTCCTATTAATTGAACGAAGAGTGAGACGTAGGCTCGCAGAATTGGGTTAAGCAGGTTCTTAAAAAAGCACAGGATCTATTTCCAAGTTGGCGGTTTTTTCTTTTTTCTTTTCATGGCAGCGAGAGGACGTTCACCGCAATCTCCAACTTGCCCATTACAAAACTAAACTCTGTCCAAAAATAAGAGTTACAGTCCGGGCCGGAACTAGAGGGGTTCAAAGGGGGCAGTCTCCCGCCCCCCTCGGGGTGGAGAATTTATAGGACGGAAAATTTGAATTCTTCGGTTAACTTTTTTTTCTGCTTTTCAATTTTTTTGTCCTTAATTTAGTCAATATAAAAAAAATGTATATTATGATATAATATTTATTAGGAAATAAAATCGCTTATGTACTGTTAGTCAAATGTTTATTAGAGGGGAACAGATGAAAAAATGGGGCGCCAAAATAAAGCTTACCCTTACTAAAAAAATGTACCAATTTCAGCTATGGTTGGCAGACATGGATATTTTAATTAAATTTAATAAATTAATCAATATTTATGAATATATTTGAGCCATATAGCAATTATATTGGACCTGTTTTGACTGATACAAAGCAGATGTATAACAATCTATCAAATATTTATGCACAATATTAGTCATTAAATAAATACACGATTGTTATCAGTTGCATCAGGTCAAAAGGAAGGAGATATGACTTACTGCTCCTTTAAGAAAATTTCAATTAGATGAACTATGATTATTTAAAACGAACGTTCAAAACCGAATATAAAATTATTAGAAAATTAATATAAATGACATCCGTGCCTTTCGTGATAAAAAAACAGTTTAAAACTATTAAATATAATTTTTTATAAACAAATATTTTAGCTTACGACGTTTCTCGGTAAGCGAGAATCAGAATTACATCAGGTTAAGACATTTGATCATAAAACGCTGACACAGGTTTATGCCATCTGATCAGCAGAATGCTTTCAAGGAATTAATTCAACACGCTTGCAATAAATAAAGTAATATTTTATTCTCAAAGAGGTGAAGATTGTTTATTTTTCAGAAAGGAATGTATAATGAATAAGAAGTATATTAAGTACTAATCAATATCACGTTACGAAAAACCATGGTGAACCAACAGCTAAGAACACCCTATTTCGTTTCGCCTTTTTTTTTCAATAAATCCATAAATGTTAACAAGTATCAATTAAAAGGCGATTTTTACGCATTCTCTTGATCACTTACGTACACATATCATTTACAAGGATATAATAAAATAAAATATAATTATATGAACTTAAAAAAAAAAAAACTAGTTTTGAATTTTTGCAAACGAAATGAAGTATCTATTTATTAAATATATTTTTAAATATCAGAGAGTAAAATTGAAAAAATAAATTGTTCTGGACAATCACGTATGTTGAAGTGATGAAGTTAAATTTAATATCAAAGATGGCGGAGTGGGAATATCCCCTGAGACATGTTTACTTTTAGACATGATATGTTAGCTTTTAAATTGTTATTGCATAGATATGACAACGTTTATATTAT